CAAGCAGCATAAATCAACGTTGTTGTTTCGAATATATAAGTGAAACTTTGTCTTTCGGCAGCAACAAGTGTTGAGTATCTTAAAGCTGCAGCCGCTGGCCAAAGCGCTTGGAGAGGAGGCAACCCGAGAGGACCTGCTGCCTTTCATCGCCTTTAACTATGGGGAATTCCACGACGAAGTCCTGCTGAATTTGGCCGAAGAGTTGCTCCACTTTGTGCCTCTGGTTGGCGGCTTCGAGCATGCGGAGGTCATCTTCAACATCCTGCAAAAGCTGTGCCTGACCGATGAAAATATCGTGCGAGAACGAGCGGTTTGCACCATAATCGCTCTGCAGCAAACCATGAGCCGCCAACAAATTGAGGATCTTTTACTGCCGGTTATCAATGCGCTGACGAAAAACGACTGGTTTACCAGCAAATGCTCGGCAGTTATGATGTTTTCGGTAAGTCCCCCAGTTATAACTGTCCCGGTAAGTGCGCAACTTCAACCACTTCTTCAGCCGTTGTATCCAAGGCTGGGCCAAACGAGAAAAGCGGAGTTGAGGAACAACTTTAAGACTCTCATTCAGGACGACTCCTCAATGGTGAGAAAAGCGGCAGCAATAGCGTGCGTCGATCTTGTGCAGGTGGTTGAGGACACTTTCCTCGAGGATGAATTCGTGCCGATTTTTCAGGACATTGCTCAAGATCCAATGGTAACAAACAACCGAAATCCGCAGGTTTTTCCGCTAATTTTCGCGTTTTAGGACTCAGTTAGGGTGGGCGCAATCGACATCGCTCTAGCCCTGATGAAGCGACTGCATGAAGATGGGCTGGATGATGTGATATTTAAAACCCTTGAAGATGTCTGTGGTGAGAAACTGCTTAAATTCATCGCACTACTTGTTGCTTGTTGTACCGTCAGTTCCGCTCTGAGCAAGCGCTTTCTGAATTGTCTCCTCCATTGCCTCAGATGACGCCTCCTGGAGGCTGCGCCAAAGCCTCGCTTTGAGCCTGGCAACCCTGCAGCAGCAGCTCCCCTATGGGAAATACCGCTGCAAGCTGCTCGCCCTCTACCAGCAGCTGGCGCAAGACGCTGAGGCGGAAGTTCGCGTGGTGGCAGCCTCCAGCCTCTTCCGGTACTGCGGCTACCTCAAAGAATCCTACCAGACGGAGGAAGAGAACGAGAATAACTTCGAGCCAGTTTTCGAGCAAAGCGTGATGGCAATCATCCGCAGATTGGCGCTGGATGACAGCGAAGAAGTGCGCCTGGCGCTCTCCTCCAACGTCTTACCACTGAGCACGCTGCTGAGCGAGCAGTGTTTCGAGAAAAACATCATTGCGTTCCTCCTGGAAGTTCTGAGCCGGGAAGACTCGATAATGATCCAGACCAACTTTCTGCTCGGGTTGAGCAACTTCTCAGGAACCGTTGATCTCACACAGTCGCTCAGCGCCATCAAGGGCTCAGTGCAGGCCGTCATCGCAAGATCGCAAGCCAATTGGAGGACCAGAAGAAGCATCCTGTTAACCCTAGTCGACATTGCCAGGTTTTGCGATAGCACCTACTTTTCTGAGAACTTCCAGCAGTACTACACGAGCCTTTTGGAGGATCCAGTGTTCGCGGTGAGGCGAAGCGCCTCCCTAGTGTTGCCGGTTATCGCCAAACACTACGGCATCAAATGGGCGAGAGAACACTTGGTGGAGGTTTTGGAGAAGTTCTGCAACGACAGCCGATACTTGTATCGGTTTGTGGCGCTCTTTGGGATCGCTGAAATGGTGCAACCGCAGCTTTTTCCTCAGCCCGACTCCTGCTTGGAGGGCTTCAGGAAACTGCTCAGAGCGCCTGATCCAAAGGCCCATCGGGCTCTGGCCAAAATAGCGAAGTCCTGCCGGTGCGTGCAAAGGGAACTCAGCAAAGAGAAATATCAGTCCATTTTGAAGCTAAAGGGCGAACTCAACCACTCCTCCAGCTTCCTCTCGGATATTTACACTGAGGCCGAGTTTGCTAAGCTGAAGGCCCTGAATGGGAGCGTTTACTCCGTGGGAAGTGAGGATTTGGGCGACTGCCGTGCTCCATACTTGCAAGGGGTTTTGCAGCTGATTCACAACACTTTCCTGCCGATTATCAGATACTTGAACGGAGACCCGACGGAAAACGTGCAAATTGGGGCAATCTGCACCTTGGGCTTGGTCTGGGACTTTATCGCCCGGCTCAGCCAGGAGGAGGCGCAGGAGTGGGTGCAGGAGGCCTGCAGGCAACTCCCTTCTGCAGAATTAGAAATAATTCAAAAAGAAGTTGAGGACGAGTTCATATCAGCCGATTACAAGCCATCAGAGCCCCTGGAATCAACACCCACTCCGATAACGTTAACTCCAAGTTATGTAGAAGAAAAACTTGATTTCATAAGCTTGTTCCGCACGATTACTTTGACGCCAGCAACTGATGAAAGTAAGTGTGGAAAGCCCAAAACCAAACTAGATCAAGCAGAAAAACGCGTGCTTCCCTTGATATAATTGAAAGCCGTCTTCGACCAAATAAAGCGATTTTTTGCGTTCCTTAGTGTTTTTTTTTCGGTTTTTCAGGCTCTTTAGGGAATATTCCTCCAATATAAATTAATAAACAGCGCGGTTGTTAACCCACATTTACAGGCTTGGCACGGAAACCTTGCGCTAAAATTAGCCTGGCTAATTTAAGCATTAATTTCATTTGTTCAGAAAATCCCAATTGAAAACTCCATCATCGCCCCTCTGGCTTAGAGCATTCTGGATGGGCAAAGTTCAAGTGTTAACGAATGCCAAATGTTTCTTATTTCCCGATCATTTTGCTTCAGCAAACCACTTCTGAGTTTCTGAATTGAATAAAAAAGAATTGTTATGAACGTTGAGCGTCTCTGGTCGGTTTGGGTTCGCTTGGAAGAATTCTTCTTGAGAAGAAGCATAGTGAATGCTGATTGTTTAGTGTCTCCCGAAATGTTGAGTTCTGCTGAAATGTTTAGCTCTTCACCTTTCTGATCTGCCAAGGAAAATCTACATTTGAAGATATGTAGATGTAACAAGATGCACTTCTAGCTCACATGAGGGACAACTGAACTTTTTTTTTCAACTTTTTATGGACGAGCGTTGGGAAACAAGATGTCCTTCCTTAACACATTAAACTTTAATTTTTTTGCAGACAGTGTCGAATAACGACAAACTTTCATCGTCATTATGAATCAACCATTGCTTAGTTTTTCACAAAAGTCTCCAGTTCTGGTAGCTTCTCTTGCTCTTCTCCATTCAAATTGGAAAACATATAAACTAACAAGATTTTCTTGCGTTACACCTTCGGGAGAATCTAACTTTAAGTTTCCATGGAGAAATGTTGAAGAAGGAAAAAACTCTTCATCTGTAGACTAGTTAGCTTTTCCCAAAAATGGTAGATTGTCTTGTTGTTCTCCTTTCCATTTTTCGAAGACAAGTTTACATTTGAAGATTTGTAGTCTTACGAGACTTCCTGCTACCGCCCAAGAAGAAGAATCAATTTACCCCTAGAGGAATGTTAAAGATCGAAATAGTTCTTCAGTTTCTCCATGAATAAACGATGGTTTTTTCGAAAAATTCGACCTGCTGAAACATCTTGCTCTTTTCCTTCTCATTCTTCTCAGAAAAGTCAACCTTTGAAAATATTTGGACTCACAAGATTTTCTTCTGACGCACATGGAGGAAGATCCAATTAATCTTTTCTAGTAGATATTTTGAAAAAAAATTAGAAAAACTAAAAGATTCTTATTCTTCGTCAGAAATAAAGGATTATTGGGGTTTTTCTAAAATTTCCAGCTTTGCTCAAAAATCTTGTTCTTTCCTGCTTCTGATTCTTCTAACAGAAATTTTCCTTCGAACATGACTTGCAAGATTTCGGGCTGACGCACATGGAGGAAGATCGACTTTGAATGTTTTCTACGAGATATTTTAAAAAATTAAAAGATTCTTATTCTTCGTCAGAAATAAAGGATTATTGAGTTTTGTCCAAAATTTCCAGCTTTGCTCAAAAATCTTGTTCTTTCCTGCTTCTGATTCTTCTAACAGAAATCTTCCTTTGAAGATGATTTGCAAGATTTCGGGCTGACGCACATGGAGGAAGATCGACTTTGAATGTTTTTTACGAGATATTTTGAAAAATTAAAAGATTCTTATTCTTCGTCAGAAATAAAGGATTATTGAGTTTTGTCCAAAATTTCCAGCTTTGCTCAAAAATCTTGTTCTTTCCTGCTTCTGATTCTTCTAAGAGAAATCTTTCTTTGAAGATGACTTACAAGATTGACTTCGAATTTTTTATACGAGATATTTGGAAAAACGAAAAGATTCTTCATCCGTATCATAAATAAACGAATGTTTATGTCTTTTCAAAAAAAAGAAGAAATGAAGTCTTCGACAATTTTCTTCTACCGCACATGAAGGAAAATTGACTGCAAAATTTCCATTGGAGAAATATTGAAGAACGAAAGTGCTTTTCACCTTCTTGTGTTAAAAATATCTTGTTCTTCCTGTTCTTCCAAGAGCAGGTAATCATCCTTTAAAGAGATATTGACTTTCAAAATGTCGTTCTGCCGCACATAAAGGAGAATAGACTTTAAACTGTCCCTAACAGAAACGTTAATACACGAAAAAACTCTTCGTCTTCATCTTCATCATGACTTAACGATTGTTCAGTTTTTCCCAGAATCTCTGTTTGCAAACATTCAAGTTGTCGATTCAGAATTGAATCGCAATTTCCATGAATATTCAACACTTTACAACTTTGTTTTGAATTAAAATTAGACAATTCGTATCTAAATCCGTAGTGGCAACACGCAATTCGTAATAAACCCTCTAAAAATAGAGATGATAATCCATTTTCCTATCCAACGAGCGCGTTCGTCTAGAACTTTCCGCAGAAAACAATCGCTTACCTTGCAGTAAGTAGATGGTGGCTTGATACTCCGCTAACTTTTCGTCGATGTAATCCTGCGATTGGTTGGCGATTATTTCGGCAGTCGAAGGGCCGGAGTCCTCATCCTCATCGACCTGGTAGTTTTGAGGAAGAGGAGGAGGCGTTAAGGGCATCCCGACGTATTCGTAGTCGCGATTTGGCGGCCCGATATCGGAGGAGGACACGGACGAGTAGGTTCTGGGGGAGTAGGAGTGCACTCCTTGAAAGTAGGGGTCTGGAGAGGGGCATCGATTAGGCGCTGGTGAAGGCTGAAAAAAAATCCTTCATTAAAATTCAAGCAAAGTACAGTTTATTTCAAGCCGAAAAATCAAACAAACTGCTCATCATTAACAAAACAGATAGACTTTCGA